TCCTACAGCATAGACAAAGAAAAGCAAGCACTCCATATTTACTGGAAGTCTATGAGGTTAATTAAGATTATTAATGACTACCAATTACTGGGAGTCCTGGTATGGCACTGTGGGTTAACGCGCCAGACTGCAAAGTTATTTGAACTGCAAGGTTGGTAGTTCAAGCTCACCAGCTGCTTCTTGGAAACCCTATATAGGGTCGCAATGGGTTGGAATAGACTTGATAGCACTTAACAACAAACCACTTACTGAGTGCTAAGTCTGTGCAAGAGTTTATGCTAACTAATTATTGCACAGTGTTTTGTTTAAATCTCAGAACAAGTCGGGTATAATGTATTATTATTCTTTGCAACAGATTAAAAAACAAAAACAAAAAACAACTAGTGGGTTTGAACAGCCAATAAGTAGGGTATAATTATGATTTTTCTTTGCAACAGATTAAAAAAAACTAAAAGCTGATGGGTTAACAGCTGAATACTTAAAGCACTACACCAGCAGGGCCACTTCCTTAATAGATGAGGAAACGAAAATTTTGAAGGGTTGAGTAATTTACCCAAAGTGCTTGAGCTATCAGGTAAAAGCCTGGAATCTTACATCCTAAAGCACACCTAGAGGACACATCCTATGTAAGGTGTGCAGATAATCAGAGAATTTTCAAAGGTCGTCTTTATAAACATGTTGGTAACTCTGTACAAGACCTGAAGGATGCTAGCCACCCACCATTTCAGTTTCTGAGCATTTAAAGAGGAAGAAATCAACCAAATCATCATAATGAATACACAGAGAATCACCTACAGTTTACTGTAAAGCGTTCTTTTCATTGTAAAAATATAAACAATAGAACCGATATTGATGAAGGTTATACAAATGGTTCATGTAATTGGTGCCACTGAATTGTACACATAAAAGATGGGAAAATGCCATGCTTTTTAAAAAAGTTGCACACATAATATGGCATCCCAGAAGGTAATACATCTTTCTCTTTGTATAAATAACATCTGTAACAACAACATATCCTTATTGCATCTTCTTTTCCTACTTACTTTATTGAATATATATACTTTACCCACTCTTTTAA